CTGCAATAAAATTACATAAGAATTATACAAAACTATTGAAAAAAAGAAAAGGCCAGACTGGCTTGACAATAGTAAACAAGTGATATAAATACTTTTTCCACCAAATGAAGTAAGAGGAAGATCAAAGCCCAGTGTGTGCTCAAGAACAGCTGTTAGGGTCTTTATTTATTGCAGAGATCTTATTAAAGCTTTAATCTTGCAAGGTGGTCAACAGACATACGTCCCTGGAATGACTTCGTGATGTTTAGTCAGATCTTGTCTCTACTACGGAAGGAAACTTTACTTGTCTCATGGTAGTTTAACATGAGTTATACTTGCAAAAAGAAATTCTGACACTTAAAGGAAATACTCATTTTTCAATGTATATAGGACATATACATTGAATATACATTGTATATGTATATACAATTGCAAAATACAGGCATTTCCATCTTGGTTAGGCTGAATGTGTGCCCTAGCATAGCCTGAGTAATCAATGCAGAAAAACTCAATTAGCTTCTTTGTCCCACTGCTCTTAAATACAGAGGTTCAGTCTGCTACCCCATGCACATTTACAAGCAGCAGGTTCCAAGTAGTCGAGCTCCTCCTCTTCCATTTCCTTCGCTTGGCTTTTGTGTCTTACACTGTATTGCTTTGGGTGCTTTTCAGATTCCTCTCCATGAATCAAAGCATCTAGCAATAAAATAACCCAAGGAAGTAGAGCTTTCTGCTGGGATAAAGAGCTAGATCAGCTGAGCACAGCTTCCAGCAGGAAGGTGTGAGGAGGAGGAAGTGGTGAGACTGCAAGGAAGGGAGGAAAGAGGAATTAAACCTTTCCCCCTTCAACAGCAATGAGCTTTCAGTTCAGTTTAATTCCCTGTGGAACCAGAGCCCAGAGGTCTGGCTAACCACTTAGAACTTTTCTATGCTTCACAGCAGCTGTCTGCAGGATCACTGCACAATGCATAACTTATTATGAATAACTGTAAAAATATTAATGCATCTAGCAGAACAAATAGGGCAAACAAAATTAAGCAGAGGGAAAAAAAGACAGACAAAAAATGCCTCACCCCACCCAAACTATGACAATCATCTAAAATTCTGCTCCATGGAAAGTGAGAATCCCAGTTGTCATTGACCCCATCTTTGGTGCACAAAATAATGGTGATCTTTTAACTACACAGACAAATGTAAGGAGTTCTTTCCTCTGGGGAAAAGAATAATCTAACACACTAACAAAGTCTAACCTAAACCACTAAGAGAAACATGGACATCATATAAATTACTTCCCCTTTTGCAAAGCACATGGAAACGACAGCATATTGAAATGGACTTAATTAGTGCACCTCATTGCAGCCATAAATGAAAATGTTAGAAATCAAAGTATTCTATACTTTAAAAAAACAAAGCACTTACAAGGATAGTAAAAATTTAAAATAGGCCATACATAAATTTAGTCGGTTTCCCAAAATGAATTGCTTGTGGTGCATTTAGTTTTTTACCAAATAAATCTAAAAATAAGATCTTTAATCAGAAATTCATCATAGTATGATTTTGAGAGGAGAGATCTTTATGTCTGAATAAAAAATTCTTACTAGACTGAATGACATGTTTTCACTTAACTAAAGAACTAAAAAGATAAATGTTGCTATTTCAATTCAGATTAAAACATTAATTTTATCAATCTGCCAGCTTCACTCCCTTTGCTACATCTTCCTTTTGGATGATTTCCAAATATTTCTTTTTCAAAAATCCATTAACTTAAAGGTGTTGCCAGCTACTCTAAGGTTTAACTCATTTTAAATCTATTTTTATACCAAGATCTAATTTTTTTATAGATCTGTCTTTCTAAAGATCATTTTCCTTAAGGAAAGAGAAGGAAAAACTTTAAATCACTGGGAGAATGTTAGCCATTAGCAGTTTCTTTCATAAATTAGACACGTTATTTATTAAAAGTCAATACAAATTCTGTCATTGATTTCAAATGATACTACTCGAGTCTGTTCATCTGTAAGAAATTAATACAGAAACAGTGAAGCAAAGCACTACTTTGCTCCATACAGATCTAAATAGGACCTGAAAAAATAAGAAAAAAAAAGATCTGACAAAAACACAATGAATCTTCTCCCACTTTATATACAGTTCCCAGATCTGTCCTATCTTAGGAAGCCTAGCATTTATTGTTTTATACATAACATCTTGCTGAAAAGACAATATTAATTAATTCAGCTCTAATTTACTGAGAACTAACAAGTAATCAATAGAGGGGAAAAAAGACATGGAGATAACTTCTCCCCACACAACTTACTGAAACACAAAGCTGAAAAGGATGTAAGAGCATCAGCTCTTCAAGAGCTGAATGCAGGAAACCAGCCACTGGTTTGAAACCAGTCCAAATTAAAAGTTCCAGAACCAATTTTTTGGGTTAGGGAATTTACTGTTTTCAGTACATATTTGTTTATATGCTGGTATTACTTCTCACAAATAACAACTGTGCTGCTTTGTTCATTCTAGCTCAATATGCCTGAGATAATATTTAAAACCTGTCAGACTGCTACAAAAGTGTTATTTCCCCATTTTGTGCCGGTTTCAAGAATTGGGACTGAAATTTCCATAAAATCTGCATAAATATAGATGATATATACATACATATATTTAGTCAGCACAAGAATTCAGGGAAAGATGAGACCTGACTATGCTCTATTTTGGTTTTTAATCTTCCCTTTGCGAGAGAATTGAGACAATATAGAGTGAGGGGGGAAAAAAAGGAGGCAGTTTTGATACCATTCTTGTTACTTTTAGTGATCAACTCAATCTTAGAAACAATCTCAATCTTAGAGTAGAATTAAAATTCAACTTAGACTTCTATATTTTTTTTCCAATTAAATAGCTCCTGCTCAACTGAATTATGTATCTCAACTTTAAGAATAATATATGAGGAGTTTTGGTGAACAAGAATGGGTTTAAAAAAGCATAAACCTGTGCTCTGTATTTGTTCAAAAACTCATCTGCTATTCTGAAGACAAAAATAGACTTTCCTTTTCAAAAATAGCCCTCAAGAGCCAACACAGCAACTGAGTGAAGCACAAGCATGCAAAGGATTTCAGCTTGTCAACAGATGAAATGTAGGTGAAAAACCCATCCCTCAGAAGAGGGTCTTCAACACCGCAGTGATTAGACTTGCAGCATACCCCTCACTGAGACAAGATTATAAGAATGTTTCCAAAAAACAGATTAAAAGGGGGAAGAGGAAATTTATACAGGGCACTGGAAAATTTTCAGTTTCTTTTAAATGTGGTACATCTCAGAGAATGTCATATCACTCCACCCCTTGATAAGGAAAATGCAAAGTCCAACTACTCATCTGCTCCCCAGTATCAGCATTCAAGAAGAAAATGGGAGTTAGTTAGAAGAGTGAGGAGAGAGCAATAACGAGTGGTTTGTAGCTCATGTTCTTGTGGAGAAACCTTCAAGGCACAAGGAAAATCATGACTCAGCCATAGCTGCAGTGAGATCTGCCTCATGCACTAATGTAGGTGCCAAAATTATGCATTTAAAAATTCTGGCTTCAGAATTATTTTAGGAAAAGATATGAAAGGGTCTTCTAAAGAAAGTCTACAACTGTATTTCCAAATATAAATGAGAAAAAAAGGAAACATGGAAGACACCGGATAAGCCTTTAAAAACACTGGATGGAAACAAGGTGGAGGAAAGGGGTAAAATGCACTTGGCTAGGGATTTAATTTATACAAAAAATAACCCTACTGCCAGCATCAGTTAACTATAATTAGAAATACATGTTAGAAATTAATCCAACGTCTATAAATCCACCTTCATAATATCAGCATTATAATTTCTATGATATTTAAGAACTTAATTCCCTAGGAGTTTTATTAAAATTTCTAATACAGTGACATCAGATACAAAAAGCAAGCCCCTACACTTTTCTTTCCTCCTATAGCTGGATGCCTAAAAAACTATGTTATCCTCCAGTCCAGAGACAAACATATGCAGCTGGTCAGATGGTGAAGCTCAGTTTCACCCTAGAGGGAGGATTAATGGATCTGATCAACTCATTCTCTGGGAAGGTAAAAAATCTGCTTCCAGACAATTTCAGTGATGGACAATTGGGTGATATAAGGTGTCGCTGGAGACTAAATTACTGAGCTGTATCAGCTGCCACACACAGGATGCCACAACAGTGAAAACTGAAATGGGTAGGATGAACAACAAGGAGCATTCCTTGAGCATCAGGACTTCATCAGGCTGCAGAGTGAGTCTCCACCAAAAGAACAATATATAGGATTATGAATTCTGTGCAATTATCACTAGTAAGGAAGCAAGACATATTAATTAGTTACTCATAAATAGTTATTAAAAGATTTGGAATTTAGTAGTGAGCAAACCTGCAGATTAAAATTACCATAAAATAAAATAGTGGTTTTTGCATCTAATTGCACATCAAAGTTAATTTTGTCTTTTGGAAATTACAGCATGAAGGTCAAAAGTATAAGTTAAATGAAAATATCAGAGGATTTCAAGGCAAAATAATGTTTTCTTTACTTGGCTCTTTAGTGGCCTAAGTTTTCTCAGTGTAAGCTTGTTCCCAGATGCAAGCAGCTGCTACACACACATTTGTCCAGGAAACACGTAGTTAGAAATATACACTCCTAATTTTAGTGAAGATTAATATTTTAAGGCCATCCTGAGTGAAATCAGAATACAAATGTTAGAACTGGCTTCTGTTCATCCATATACAACGTGACAAGCATTTGCTTACTCTAGCACTGCAGAGGAAGCTTTTAAGACCATGCATATTTCACCATCTGCTTTGCTGCTAATTTGCAAAATTCTGGTGATATGAACTAGTTATTACCTCAGATACTGGAGGGTGTGCAAGTGAATGCTAACCCTGTTATCCATGACTTTTAATCTTGGTTAAACCAAACTAGTAACCAGAAACTTCAGATGAACATAGAGCCAGGAAGCAAGAATATGAAATGGAGAGAGATTCAACTTACAATTAAATCTTGAATAAGTGAAATGGAAAGTATCCTCTTGGTGCCATTTTCCACAATTACTCCAAGCCAATTAAGTGCGCCCCAGTACCACAAATAACTCTGTCCTCCATGCCAGTAGCTTACAAAGGCAAAAGTGAGGGCTGTAGATAATAGAGTTCCAAGCAAACTGGACTGAGATCCTCCCATTGGAACATAAATGTACCTGTGGGTGAAATGACAAATAAGCAATGCTGTTAGAGATTTCACAGAAATCTCGGAGAAACATCCACCACAGAACAAATGTGTCAATTTGTAGCATAAAAACTACCTGACATGCTCTATTTACAGAGCTTGTCCTATTTTCTGCAAATCTGTAGACTACTTCATGAAATATTACATAAATATGTACCACTTGGAAAGGGATAATTTGGTGGTCCTGGGAACTCCGCATTAGGCAAATATATAGCACAAACTATATTTTCAAAACTGCAAATAGCAAATATTCAGATTTTTAAAACTTGAATAGGTCTAGGTCAACTACAGAAATTACCCGTAATCTTCATGTGAATTTAAATGATAAGATTCTTAACAAAAAAATTTAAAACATTATATAAACTCATATACAATCACAACCCATAGACTGTTTTCCTTCTGTCAGAAACGTAGATGCATGCAAACATACTTTTTTACTAAAAGGTTGTAATTTCTTTCTTTTAAAATATTTCATTAAAAATTATGTGAACTGTAAATATTTCTTATCTGGTTCTTCTATTATATTCTCAGAATCATGTCAGGCTGATGACCTTTGGAGCACTCATACCAAAAAAAGCCTGGAAACCCATATGAAGCATTCTGCATGCAGTTATATTCTGCATTTAAACTGAACCCAGGAGTCATAACCTTAGTCATTAATTGATGCTTAGAAGTGTCCAGAAAGCAGTGCTCCTTCAGAAAAAAATGCCAGAAGCAATGGGATTGTTAAAGCTGACACTACTTTGTGTGTCATTTCACTTCCAGCCTGAAGAGCTATATCCACTCCCATAATTTTCTGATTAAGGCATGACCACTGGCCAGACATTGTCTGAAAGAGTTGCATATTTCTGTCAACACTTTGAAGAAGCCCATCAGGCAGGGGAGTCACCACCCAGCTCATGGGTACCAGCAAGGAGTTGTGGTATCTGAGAACCACCAGTGACAGCTCTCCTCAGCTGTCATTCCTTTGGCATGACACTCTGTACTCATATTTGAGACTATTCCTACTTGCTAAGATAATTCAAGGATTTTTTTCAAGTGACATTTTTATCTCTGTTTATCAGTTTCCATATTCAGAGATAAACATTATTTTAAAAATGTAAACAAGAAATTAACATACTACTTTATTCCTAATCTTAGGAAGTAAGAAAAAAAAAAATAATAGGGTAAAATACAGTGATGAACATAATTAAAGGGTAAACAAAAAAGTCATTAAAAAAACAAGTGTCAAATGTTCCAAATTATTTCTTAGCATAACATCAATACACCTTTTTACTTCAATCTGCTACAGAGAACATCTGATTACATGTTTTTCAGTATAGGTGTGCTTTTTCACTAAGTATATGAAAATAAATAGAAATTAAGATCAATAGTTTCTATTTATATTGTGCTTTTCTTCTCTCTCCCTTTCCTATGTTTGAACAGTGTGGCAGTAACAGACACTTGCAATTGCAATCAATTAATCTAATGGCAGAGAGGTTTATCTTAGCAGTGTGCAAGCAGTGAATTTCCTGCAGGGCTGTGGCACAGAGGGTAAAGAGAGCAGAGCCACAGACTGCTGCTTCAGCAAATTCCCTCTACATGAAGAATTACAGGCATGAGAGGCTAAGCAGCTCAGTACTCTTAGGACAGACTTTCCCAACACCTTTCCTCTCCTTTTTAAAAGGCTGATTGGTTTCTTTTTTAAGCAGGGCCCATTCCATCACCAGCTCCCCAGGAGGGCATGGCAGTGCCTCGTTTCACAGAGCTGCACCCAGAGCAGCCCAAAGCAGGACCCTGCCAGCCCTGCTGTCCTCAGCAAAGCTCTCTGCTGTACATTCAGGGATTTAATTGCCACCTGATTCATGTCTGTCAATTCACAGAAATGTCTGGGACCCACAACGACCACCAAATCCAATTCTTTAGTGAATGTCCTGTAGGGGATCAAACCCACAACCCTGGCCCTGTTAACATCACGCTCCAACCAATGGAGCTCATCTCTGAAATGCAGCATTTCAAAGTAACCCAGGCACTACCAAAAAGACACATCTCTGTGGCAGAGATCTGACTTCAATGCCCAAAGAAGCCTTTCTGCTGACCCCATAGGGCCCTAGGTTAAATCCATGGCACAAAAGGTAGCTTCAGGTTTCTGTACAGTCCCCTTCCCTACACTGACACTGCTGTGTAGGCTCCAGCCATCTTGCCAGCACAGGCAGCCTCCACTGGCAATGGCATTGCCAGGAAGAGCTCAGCAGCATCAACTCATTTGTTTCCAATTGCAGCTCAGTTTAGGCTGGCCTGAAGGGTTTTCAGCAGAGAAAAACAGACTATTTTCTGATTTTTAGTGTTAAACAACAGCAGCTAAATAATTGAGCAGCAACAACCCATAATTCTGATTAATGTTAAGGTTAGTGAAGTTTTAGCTCCTAGTGAGGCTGATGGCAAATGTGCAACTGAAAATCCACTGTGTGAAGACCTGTTTGAAGAAGGATAGAAGCCAAAAGGAATAACAAATTTTCACTTTGACCTTCCCTTCCAGTACTGTGGAAGTCTACTTCATGCCCAGAGGAGAAATGGAAAGCAGAAAGCAATGCCTCTCTCCTTCCTTGCTAGTGCCATAAGGAAATGGACAGGCAGCTGGCTGCCATTCCTTGCCACAAGGGCAGTAACCATTCTCAGATCGTGTGGTCTTGCCTTCCCCTGTCAGGGCATTCCCAGTGGCAGTTTTAAAGTGGTTATAAAGGACTGATAAATGTTGGGAGTCATTTCTCTTGAACAGTGTGAAGAGTAATTCTCTAAGTTCCTATATTTTTCACACAGAAAAATTCCATGAGAAAGTCATTACTACATTGCAGAACACATCAGGGAAAAAAGGATTTGCTGCCTTATCATCCATGCACATCATATCCATGTGATGTACATGTGCATACACTGCTGCACTGCCAGGCCTGCATACAAGCAATAGGCAACTCAGTGTGCAGCCAGGGGCAGAGCCTGGCTCAAAACCAGGTACTCTGTGCTCTCAGATTATCAAATTAACCAAAACTATCTTGCAAAAGAACCATGCCAGAACTCTCATTGCTGCAAAGATGCATTTCACATATTTTAGAGCAACCTAGTAGTTTAGAATCTAATTTCTCTATACTCCCCCTATGATTTCCCTATGATACTTCCTCATATGATTACAAAAAGCTACACAAACACTTAACTGTGGGGGAAAATAACTCAGTGAAAAGCATTATTAAGCCAGATGATAGAAGAAATATATTAGTTCTGTATTATCATCTACAACACAACACAACACACACACTGTGACTAACAATTTCTTGTGGTTTAACCTTGTCCAGCAGCTACACCCCACACAGCCTCTCATTCACCCTTCCCCATGGGATGGGGAAGAAAAGGAACTTCTTACAGTGCATTCAGAAAGTTGCAGTTTGCTAAGAAAATCTGTGAGGAGGGAAAGAAGGAGGCAGGCAAAGAGATTTAGGGGTAATGGCTATGACAAATTGATGTCTTTTATATCTTTATGTCTTTTATACAGCATGCTTCCTAACTTTTCTTCTTCTTCTTACCAATACTTCCTGCAATCTATCCCTGCAATCCCTTTGGTCTGTAAACCTTGTACTGTACTCAGGGTTTACACAAATTGAGAGGTTGCTGTAGAACATGTTGATCTGCTGTACCATAAGTAGAACAGCATTACATAAATATCTCATTTTAAGCTTCCATGCAGCTTTTAAGATGATTCCCATTTCTAATCACAGAAAATCCACACAGAAATTCAAAATCCCCAGTTCGGGAACTATTAGCACATAAAAGTAACCGTGGGTACTCACAGCAGCCTAACACAACTCAAAGGAACACCCTTGTAGTAGAGTTTCTTAACAGCTCTTAAACAGATTACACATTTATTCTAAATGAGTAAGGAAGGCAGAAAAGCTGAAAAATGTGGCACCAATATACAACAAATTTATCTTAACTTACATACAGAAAAGAAAACTCGGCAGTTATTTGGTGGTCAATGAGCCAAAGGTGGACTAATGAAGGAAAGCAGCAAAGTATTTTGCAAAGAGAAAAGGATGTCGAGCTAAGTAGATTTGAGGGTAGTAATTGGTCATGTCCCTCCAGGCTGTGTTAGAGGGATGGTCAGCAATGGTCCCCCTTAAGGTCCATGAAAATTACAGATAAGAAGATTAGACCGATGGAAAATGCTCAGTATCAAAAAATGCAGGCTAGGTGAATATTTAAAAATAAGACGTTAACTTTGGGGGTCAAAAGTCAATCACTGCCAAAACTTCCAAGGAGAAATTTGAAGGTGAAAGAATAGAGATTTCTAGGCAGACTATCAGAGAGGAACACGTGAATGTCACAGGTCAGGCTTTGCCAACTACTCCTGGGCTGGAGCTGGCTAGACCTCCCTTAAGGACAACAAGGAAAAGTATTTCATGCTGTCAGAAGAAAATGTTATGCATGTAACATGGAGAGAAGGTGGAAGAGAACTCCATGTTATTAAAATCTCAAAACATCTGGGACGTGTTTTAAGTACATAAATACAAATATTGAGAGAATGTTATATAGAGAAAATTATTTGTATGTACATCCCCACACCTGAGAAGACTAAACATACATTCCTAGCCTTCCCCTCTTAAGGAAAATATGTCAATCTTACACATATTTCTGTGTTTGCTATCTTTCTATTTCTGTTTTTATTTCAAACTAAACCTTACATGCAATTACACATGCTACTTTCACAAACAAAGCCCAGTGTGTACATGCCTTCCCCCAAGTGCATCACTTTTAGTCCAGGTACAGCAGTTTAAATGACCTTATCTACAGCCAGCAAGCTGTTTCATTTACACAACTTATCTTAATTTTAACTCACTAAGTGAACATTAGAGACTAGGATAATATATGCAAATGGTACCATTTAAATCCCTACAGTAATGCAAACACAAGCATAATAGCTGGAGTATTTAAAAGTGACATTTA